CAAAGTATTTGGAGATCCTTATTGTATCCTGTTGCACACACACAACCAACTGGTTGTTTCTCTTTTATTGCTTCAAGACAGTTTATATAAGAGCAGATTTTATATACACACATTCTGGGGAGCTACTGCTCATCAAAGGATCAAGATATTAAATTTCTATAATAAATATTTCCCCAAACCTTTAATACAAAGGAAATGTTCTATCTCACCAAGCAAAATTTAAAATGGAGTCTAATATAGAATTTTAAATGGCAATGCAGGGGTATTGTTCTAATAGCCCCACCTAGCACTCAAAACCCCTGAAGAATCAATTGCTGCAATATGACAAAAAAGCCTCACTGTGTGCACATATGCTTTGGCAGGCAAATAATTTACAGATGTCAGTAAAAACAAGAAATTGAGGACAATCTGGGGAGGAAATAATATATATTTGAAAATATATAAATCATGTAAATTTCTTTATATTTATTAGCCTTGTAGGTAATGTGGTAACTATAAATGCGTGTATTTCCTCATTCCAAAAATACTTTAGTGTTCCCTTGATCCAGATGCTCTGAGCATACCTACTGTTCCTATAAAATGAAAACAGAGGAAAACTGCTCAGTAATTCCTAAAGTCCCCAAGAAATGGAACTTTAACTCTGTCACACTAATGTGTTAAAGTGATAAAGTCAGTTAGCTTAGACTTTAAGATGATGTTTCAAAAATTAGACTATTGTGTATTTTATATACTTTGATCTCTGCATTGGATGGAAAACAATAAAGTTCAGTAAAAAATTAATTTTCATCTTTCTTAAAAAAAAAAGGTATCAGAGAATTGTTTGTTGTTTAATCACTGTCAGCAAACTTTTCATTTACAAAATAGTTTTCTAAAACAAAGCTTAAACCCGTCTATTTTCTCAAAATAGATTGTTTTCTCTCCCGATTCCCAGAGCAAGGAATCCTATATCTCACTGTATTTACCACAAATCATAGGCCCACTTAGTATAAAAATGGTTATGGCTCAAAGTAATGTAAAACTTTCACTGGCAATCTCTCAATTTGAATTACAAGTGGAAATTTGTACCTGCACTGGAAAAAGCATTTTGGTTCCTTCTAGAGTAAAATACACTACAGCTTTAGATTCTGTGGGGAAATTGTCAGAGATTTTGGTTGGGGTTTTTAGGGGGTTTTATATATGTAGAGTGGAAATAATCTTTATGCTCAGATTTGTAAAATACTTAGCACAGTGTCAGCTAATTCACAGCTTGAGCTTTAGAACGCTACAGCAATGCAAGGAATAAATAAAAAACCATACATCGTTATGGAAAATTCAATATATCCAGCACATCACCTGGCTAGAGATGAGATACCTTTGAACTGGAAGCCATGCAAGCATATTAGCAGAGCATTGAACTTCGTCTAGCAAGCCCAAGATCCCCACAGGGATCACCAGTGGCAGCACAGCACTGCACCAGCCTGCCCATGCAGTCTGCCATGGGCTCAACATGCCACTGGCTCAGAGCCTGGAAGGTTGGGTCTGTCTGCAGAAAACTGTGTGGGAGCACTCACAGATATTCAGAGTAGCACAAGCAGGCTTTGAGACACAGAAGCCCTAGTTAAACATTTCTCATTCTGCCACCACAGGTCTTCACATAAGCAACTCAATCCAGACCTACTTGTAAGCTACAGATACTCCATTCTGCTTTAGGGTAGCAAACTAGCCAGTATTCCCTAGAAATTCCCTAGAAATTCCCTAGAAAGTCTGCACCACTAAATAGGCATAACAAGCATACTAAATAGGCCGTTAAAAAGTAAAACAAAAGAACTGAATTTTGCACTATTACAATGCCAATTTTTCCAGAGCTTCAGATCACTGAAACTCAGAGAATTATTACAGGAGTAGGTAATATATTTTTAAAGTGCTCCATGTATCAGTCTCAAGGGAGAACAAAGACAAATTCCAAGACAAAAGGCTACATTAAATCATCTCTCTGGATATGAGAGAAATAAAACACATCACAGATGCTTTTAGTTTCTTAACATCAAATATTAGGAATTACAAGTCAGAGCTAATTCACACATTAAAAGAAACCAAATCAGTTGCATATGGAAACAGACTGTTACCTTCTCCTAACAACATTACTTCTGTCTTGTGACAGCACAGTAATTAGAATGAATGCATTAAACGAACTACTAGATTTTTAGTCACAAAACATTAAGTGCCTTAGACATAATTGTGTACTACTCTGTGGTATTATTGAATGCAAGTATAAGAACAAAACCAGATACATGCATTTCTTGATTCAACTTCCCAAGAAAACATTCAGTGGTCCAAAGGATGACTGTACTCTCCATTACTGGTGCAATATCCCCCTCACAGAGAGCCAATGCCGCCAACAGACAAAAACGACAACTTAGGTGTGGTCACAAATCACCATCCGCTATTTAAATAAACAAATATATTTATAAGTGCATACAACAGTTGAGAGAGGGAAGAAGATTTCGCTCATGTGGAAGGAGTTTGGTAGATAAATCCTGGAGATCTGGCACTTTCTACAATACAGGAAACTGTAGCAGAATCACTATTTCCTTCAGTGTTTCTTAGCTGTTCCAAGATCACTGCTTACATGACAACTCTAATGCCATACATTAAATGCCTTGTAAATCACAGACCTGCCAGAATGGGATTTTTAACTGCAGAACTGAGTCAAATTAAGGTAGTTCAGCAGCAGTCAGGATGAAGGAAATGCCAATTCTGACCTGTCACTTTTAAAACAGTCCATGAGAATAGAGAAAAGCAAGCAGTTAGCAGAGGGGCTCACTGCCTGCCAAAAATTGTAGTAACATTCATGCCTTCCTTCCCAGTGTACAGGGACTTTCTGACTCCACCTTTCAAAGTCAGACAGAAACTGCAGTAAAATTCAAAGCAGCTCACACCACCTAAAAAGCACAGCACTGCATTCTTAACAGAAATGTCTTCAGAGGGCTAATCTGGCATTCAAGTGTTGGGCATGACCCAATGTGAACAATATGTTTCATGTAAGCTTTAACCAAAACCATACCCTGTTTTCTACATTCCCACAATCTTGGATTGCTTAGGTCACTGGCACAAATCTGCAGCTTTCTTCACCATAGTCAGCCCCATGGGTCAACTTGATTCCTTTGAAATATTATTAGCTATAGTTTCTGAAATTGTAACTGTAACTGTCTTCCACGAAAATGTTTGCGATTAATGCAGGCTATTTTATTTTCATTTTCTGTTGCTGGTTATTTCTTCATTTATGAAGCTTTTCCTTCTTAATTTTACTATGAAGTTAAAGAGGCTGAAAATAATTATTATAATGCATGATACTACAGCCAAGACCTATATTTTCACCTTAACTTTCATACACACATTTCCCACAGCACAGTACTTTCTAGAAATCTCTACCCCTCTGGTGACTGCAGCTAATCTTCAGAAACAGAGCCATAAGGCAGGAATGAAGTCTTACAAATTAGACTTCAGCCTGAGCCAGCTGCTTTCTCCTAGCATTATTCCCTTTATAACCATCTGTCCCACCTGCTAATGTATTTTTCCCCTCACCCAACCTCTCTCCTATTATGATTTGCTGTTCCAGCTAACACCCAAGTATCAATATAAAGGAATCGGGACTAAATCCAACTTTGTGCCACCCAGTATTTGGAGCCGTGGTAAAGCACCTGCTTGACTGCTGGTATAATTAAATCTGCCCTAAGTCTGCTTTAGTTTATGCCAAGTTCACCTGTGACCCAAACACTACCAGAGTTTGTTGTCACTCTTGTCTTCTTTCTGGACTGCCTCAATGAGTGACAGACATGCTTCATCTTGGTTACACAAGGGTCTCCTCTTGTAAATCAATTATTGTTTGCAATTACACCAACCATCACACTCTGCTGAATCCCTGCACTGAGATTTATCTACTTAGGGGAGGTGATTCCACAAAACAACCCTTGCACTCCAGACCGATTTCTTGTGGTTTCAAAACTGGCTGCATGCCTGCTTGTCAGCATTTTCCAAATCAACCTTCTGGCTGAAAAGTCATCCTGAATTTTCCTCCTTGGGCAGAATTGCCAGAGAGACACAACACAAAGAAATGAGGAAGAGGAGAAATGGGAAGGGCTGAGAATGAGGAAATAGAAATTAAATGGCATGTTCCTACACAGTGAAATTCTGTAGTCATGGACACTCAAGAGTTCTTTGCCGTTTTCAATAAGACCAACATCAGAATAAACCTTATCGAAGAGTCCTGTATATTTATTGCAGCATTAACTTTTCATATCTGTTTAAAGCCTGACAACTGAAGGGGAAATAATTACTTAAACATAGTTCTGAAGACTGCACAGCAGTGGCACTGCCCAAAAAAGTCAGGAAGAACACGACACTTACAAAGCGTATCATATAATTTCATCTCATGTACTGCTGACAAGAGTCAGAAATAACAGGAATGGAACTGCTGGAAAAACGTGAGTTTTTCTGAGTACTACTTTTATATTTCTGTAAAATATACATAGGCTTTTTTAAAGACTGTAAATCAGAGAATAAGAGGGAAAAAAAACTACAGATGTGTGACATAAAGAATAAAGGCAAAAGATGTATAAAAGGCAGGAAAAAAGGAAATTAGACAGATGTAGAATTCAAAGGAGCACATGCTGACAGGCTCTGCACTTTCAACAGAAAGCTAGAAGCTAACATCTGTATCCATACAGTTTTTAAAATGAGTTCCTAGTTACTAACATTGCATTCAGGAAGGAGGCAAAGGAGAAGAATGGTATTTTAACTGAGCTCATTTCTAAGCATAAGATTAAAATAAAAACAGAAGGAAGCAATTTCATGTCAGTTCCTGGCAGCTGCTCAGCGTTCCTTACTATCACAGCTCTGTTTGTTGTGGAGTGCTGATAATGTTCCAGAACTGCAGTGCTTTGGAGTCCTTCTGCAATCCTTAGCTCTGCAACTTTGGGACCCAATGGAAAAACTTTCTTCTGAAGACCATTCACACATACCTTGAAAGACTCAGTCATTTGCTTTCCCATTTCTCCTGAACATCCTCCGCCTGTGCACTCATTCTGGCAGCCCTAGAAAAAATAAAACCAGAGCAAATCAAATTCAATAAACATTACAGGAAAGTTGATACACATGCAGTTAATTCATTTCAGGGACGGCTTGTATTGAATCATCAGACTTTGCCATTAGTAAATATATTAGCAAGAACTTTGTGCTAAGTTCTTAGCACAACTTTCCATCTTCTGGGTTTTCAGTTTTACTTCAGTTCTTTATTTTGCGCATCTGCATTTCAAGGCTTTATATATGTAACATATATATACACACATAACATCCTAGATTAGATTATCACTCTAGTGTAGAAAGTTATGGACAACATCACAAGTTTTTCATTCAGAGCTGAATAAATAAATTGGGTTTTTACTCAATTTCATCAGAGCCAAATTTCTCTACAAAAACGTATCTAGCTAACAGGTTTGCTTTTGCCTTTTTTAAGAGAAGACTGAGTAGGCAGAATGGAAGAAAAAATAAAGAATTCATTTTCTTAAAACCTTCATTAAACAAAGACAGTAATAAGAAATGGTCACCTATATGAATAAATAATGAGAATATTTTTCATTATCTACAATGTTGAACTTCAGGTTTCTCCAAAGGAAGTGTGAGGGGAAAGAAAAACCGGAGTGCTACTTCCAGGCATCCTTCTGTTCACCAACAGAGGGAAAACAGGTATAAGCCATCTACCTAAAAACAAGATTCCCAGCTCCCAGAGCATCACATTAGCATCTCTGTGGACCCTCGTGCACTACCTATACCTTCCCTGCCAGCAGCCACTAAATGCATATTATATCCAACGGCATGGAACAAAGGAGACAAAGACAGACCTGATGGGGTTCCTTGTTTCCCAGCAGCCTTTAAAAAGGAGCTGAAAAGGTGAAGTGAGTGTAGAGGCTTGGGAAATGGAAGAAGGCATCAGGAGCAAGAGGTTGGGGTGATGAACCATGAAAGAGAATGGCTGGGGTGATGGTATAAGGCAGCACAGCTGGAAAGATGGAGAGGACTTGGTGGCTGTCTCTCAGCCTTGCTACATCTCAGGTGGGAACTCCCAGTCCAGATGGGAAAGCCCCAGATCAAATATATAACCCCCTTAAGAGAAGATGCAGAGAAAACCTTTCATGGTCAGCCTATGAGATCCCAGCACTTCACAGGGAGCAGCCCTCACCCCACAGGGAGGGCTGGTGCAGGTGGATAGCAGTGTCAAGAGACACAGCAGCCACCTGTCCTGCAGCAGCCACCAAAATGAGGCTGGGACCAAATGGATCACAGGCTGGGAAGCGTGACACACATAAGGCAAGTAACATGATTCTTTTTCTTTTTTACAGATTTTGAGAACATTGTAAAACATACCAAAAAAAAGCCGTATTTTCAGTGGACCTTTCACAGATCACAGCCTTGCTACCAACAAAAAGTAAAAGGCAAACTCCCAGCCACAGCAGATCTCACTTCCTCTCCCCTTCCCCCCAGGGAGCCCCCCACATCCCTCCTGCTGCTTTTCTAAGCTTTAACCCTTCTGTTCCTCTTTTTTTGTAACCCTCTAGAGCAAGGCAGGCAATCGTGGCTACAGGACCCTCCCTATCCACTAAAAGACAAAGTGCCAAGAGAGATCATAAATCTCATTACAGTATCACAGTATGCTTTATTGTTCATTAAAAATATGTTTTTATTTGCCATAAAGCTTAGGGTTTTCTACTCCAGAAAGACAAGACTTTGGCAGAGTGTGTACGGGCATTCAGTGGCATACTCAAGCACAACTAAAGTGTCACCCAAAGCAAAGGACACTATATAACAACAGGTCCTTGCTTTACCTGTAATTTTTCAGATACTTCCAGATCCACCGATAAAATCCTAGAAAGCCTTCATGACACGATCAGTTGACAGTAGTGAAGTATCCCACAGATGAACTGAGCCAACTGATTTTCCTCTGCACTGCAATGAATTAGGATGGAGAACGCGCTGGTTACCAGCTAACAGGATGGGAATTGCCAGCTGTGGAAGAAGAATATCTCAAAGAACTACAGCTCCATTGCTGGGTTATGTCTAATATCCAGTATGCCAACTTGGATTTGCTGATAGTAATTACTGGTGACAGCAAATACTGACAAGTACTCAACCATTATGCTTCAGTTTCTTCCTGTTGCTGCTTTATGAAGTTGCCCTAAAGCAAGAGCTGGCATCAACACAGAAGACTGAAGCTGGATACAGTTTAATATTCTCTTTCATGATCTTTTTTAAAGATACCAAGATTGCATGTGAAATGGAAGTACAGCCCACCTACAGGAAGAGCCCCTGGGGGTTCCATCACACTGCCCTTCAGCTCAAGATTACCACTGAACTCAGTGAAGTCATCAGCCCAATTTCTGGGCACACGCCATGGGGCCAATCCTGTTCTCCATGATGTCATTACTTTTTACACATTTAACTCAGATTTAAAGCAAGTAACTATCTGCCTTTGTTAACGATACTGAGATTAAACTGAGTTAATCCCTCGGCACTAGGAAGAAATACCACAATTGCTTTCTAATTAATGGAGTCATATTTTAATAGCTTCATGGCTTACAAATCTGAAACATGTTGCTAAATGCAATAGGGAAAATTGCTCCTTGGTTTAGTGCCAACATTGCCAAGGGAGATATGCCAAGCATAAATTTGCCCTTTGTGTTTAATAGCATGGTAGATTTAAAATTGCCTCCATTAAAACACTGATGTTATCCTAAAGATACATTTGAGCCACTGGGTCAACAACTTCTCAGAAGTCACTCAAGACTGTCTCAAGTAGCTGTACAATTACACAAGCATAACATTATTTCCTATGTTGTGCTCTAGAGATATCAGTGTTTTCTCTGTGGTATATGTAATTGCTTTTTCTAAATAGGAAACAGAAAAGTAATTCAAAGTTTTCCTTCAAAAATACTGAAAACACATATGGATTTTAACATTACTGTAATGCCAGTATAAGAATGAGGTGTAAAGTCTTACAATAGATTAAATTTGGTTTGAAAATGGGGTTTATATGTAATTTTATCACTGTGAAATACTACTGAAAGGAAAACCTTCTGAGCAGTAGTTCTGTTATTACGTTCATGGAAGATCTCAATGCTATAATGACCATTACAAATCCTTTAGCACTGACAGAAGTAACCACAATACACTTAGCTGGGTAACAGTGCTCCCTCACACTAGCACTTAGTTCCAACCTAACTCTTACACAAGGCAAAGCCTTAGGTGGGTATTTGTGCATGTAACACTTACTGCCACTTTTGGCAAATTTTAGGCTTAATAGTTGTCACCTGCACTTCTGCCAGAGCTCCTGCACTTGGTCCTCAGGCTGCCTTAGACACACATATGTTCAACATCTTCTAGCATCACAGTGCTGCAGACAATGCTTTCCCTGCTGTCTCCTCTACTTCTTCTGTGCACTCAGATCATTCAGCCTTCTGATAAAAAATAGGCCCATCTCCTCCCTAAACTCCCCAGGCTTCCTAGACTGCATGAGTGCACCTTAGCTTTTCCTGTGCCTTCACACTTGGAGGCTTTTGAGACACTCAGCAGAAACATCAGCATCTTTGTTCTCGTTTGGGACTGTCTGTTCCATGAACTGCAGTTCCACCAGGTGCTTTGTCAAACTGCTGTGCTCCATCTCATTGGTGCATCTTCAGTTATGAAACAAGAACTGAAGATTACGAGAAGCTTCATCACTGTGAACTTCAGCTGCCAACTGCTTTTCTTTATAGCATATGAGATCATTTATTAAAAAAAAAAAAGTCACCAGTTTTCAAAAAAATTTTCCAGTCACCTCTATATGCCATGTACTTTGTCATGCTTTCTCAAAGAAAACTAATTCTTTAATCAGTTCTCTGTTCACTTAATTTTTCCTGTTGTTTGAGAACTCATCTGACCACCAGGGAACAGAAAACTTTCCCTAGCAGAAGGCAAGAGTAAAGATACAAATAGAAAATGCTGTCTACAGACCTCACACTTTCAGCTAGGAAATCATACTGGATGCTTTTCAAAACAACTCAAATTCTGCAGCTTCACAAAATCCTTAGTCATCTTTCTTGGTTTCACCAGTCATCTGTGTGAAGCCCCCCACAGACAGCTCCAATGTCTCCACTCTGAGGGAGATTTTCATCAACAGCAGCAGTGCCCTGGTAGAGGACTACCAGTGACAGGGAACATCTGGAAACCTAATTTCATGCCCATGAAAGAATTGCAGACAGTGCTTTTTTGGGCAAGCACTGGCTATTCATGGAGGTCAAGAACCTAAATAAACCAAATAAGCCACAGATAGACAGCAATAACTGCACAGAGTTCCTTCTCCCAAAGCAAACCCATCTCCTGCTACAAACCCCATCTTATCTTGTGTAGCAGTCATCAGGCCCTAGAAAAGATGGATCAGAAATTTCCTCTCAGTCAGAAGTCATATGAAAGACCATTTTCAACTAAGAAGGTCCTTTCTGAGACACTTCTCCAAGATAAAACAGTGTCTTACTGCTTTTTCTCCATGCCTGCTTCTGGCTACTAAGTGTCCAAGAAATATTTCATGCTCTAATTTGCACTGGAAGGACAATGAAATTAGAACACTTGCCAGATTGAAAGAATACAGCAGATCAATAAATCCAATACATGACTCACACTCTGATACTGCCTACAGGCAAGCCAAATGAGGTGTGTGATGACAGGTACTTTGTCATTCACAGCCATACAAACCAAAGCTGCCTTTCTGCTCCAGGTACAAAATAGAATCCAATGTGCACGAATGCCATATATTCTGTGTATTGCTACAGAAAAAAACACTTCTATGACTTCAAAACAGCTTTTATCTGTCCCTAAGAAATGTTAATAGATATTGGAAGCCACATCATATACAAGATGAATTTGCAGGGAAAAAAAATGCTAATAATGTTCACAGCTTAACTAAGAAAACCAAACAAAAACCAAACCAAAATAAAAAACCCACACACTGTCAGACAGAGAGAAGTTGCTGAAGGGCCAAGTGACACAATACTATCTTTAATAT